GGCCACACGGATCTGCCTGAGGCAAAAACCTATAATGTGTTTTGAAAGCAGGTTTGGCATGCAAAACGCTGAGCACTGCTCAAGAATCAAGAACTCACAGATTAAAGCTCGACACTGATCTCTTTCGCCTTGAAAGGGTTCGCGACTCTAGATCTAGCTTGCGAAACTTTAGCATAGCTCTGCATGAATCAAGAACATGGCTACCTGAAATGGAAACACTTCTGCTGTCAGCTGTAGAGCGGATTGCTAACAGAGCCACGCCAAAGGTTGCCGAGCCTAAGCGCTACTCTCCTCTTCATAGCAGCAGCGTGTCAGTGTCAGTCCTGGGGTCCAAGCCAACTTCTACAATCGCAACCTGGCCCTCTTGCCGTGCGACTGCAAAGTGCCTGCCGCAGTGGCAGCGAAATCAGCTCGAACTTTCTTCATCAAGTCATTCTCAAACTCAGCATCAGCTGAGCCAGCTGTGTCCTCAATAGGCGGTGGCTCTTTCATAGGCATCGGCAACTTGGAATAGGTTTCACGGGAGACCACATTGCCTGCGCAAAACAAAATCCAGGCAGCAAAAGCTGGTATGTGGATAGCATTGCCTGCCAAGAACCTGAGATCCTGATCACGGAAGTTTTCAAAGATCTGCGCAAGGGGCGAAATGCCCCGCTGCCCAGCCAGCCCTGGATACATGTCAACACCCTGGGCAGCTAGCAGCTCCTTGCCCAGCAGCAACCTTCCAGCTTTGAAACTGTAGATTTTCGGGTGAGTGTCTAGCGGAGGCATCTCTGGCCCACAGCTTGGTCCGCAATCCAGGTTATGATCCAGATCGCACATGAACTCGCCAGTCAGGCTCTGTCGCTCAGCTCGAACCTTCTCGTAAGTTGCAAGACGCGCCATGGCGCCTGGAGGCACCAGGCAAGTCATGTGTTGCTGCATGGGAACATCACGATAGTTCGCGGGCAAAGTCCTTCGCCGCTTGCTTGCTATTTCTTCTGCAAAAGCTAACACTTCTTCATGCTCAGCTTGCAGATACACGTCGCCTGCCAGCTCACACCTGGCGCCAAAGAAACTTTCAAAGTGAGCTTGCACCTCATCGGCCGGGGCTCCAACCCAGACCCACTTGGATTTGTTCAGGCCGAAAGAAAACATTCTTGACCTTTTCATTGGAAAGCCGAGCTGCGTCGGGCATATGTGAATATGCATCACCTGATGACTGTCTTCAAGAGCAGCTACTTGCTTGGATAACACGGGGTAAGACCCCGAGTTTTCGCTAAAGTACCAGTCTTCGAGGCACTTCTTGCCCTGAAACAGCCTCTCCTCAGTCCAAACAGTATGGCATGGGTCTGTGACCCCACCTCCAGATGCACCTTTGCGCTTGCCGAGAGGGGTAAAATCAGTACACACAAGTCCTGATA